TTTATATGTTGTGCTTTCTGAAGAGAGGTTATGCTCAAAGTTATAAATTACGAAAAACTGAGGAGATCTACGGGAAATCATCACCGCGCCCGCGTTGTGTGTAAAATTACTGTGAGCATGTATATGGCTTGTAATTCGACAGTGTAGAGTGAATATAGTTACTTCTTATCTCTCTCATTTTTGAAATTCAGCAAATTTGTATATGTAGTTTCCAGAATGGATAAGAAAAAGTGGATGCGCAACTAATTTCTAGCTTGGAATCTCAATTAAGTGTATTTGAGACAAGAACCCAATGTAATTATCATCAACACATACAACTTACAGCTTAGACCTCCAGTAATGCCATCTCAGAAGCAGATTTTATATCACCTCAGAGCCAAAGATTAGTAACCATCGTAAACAAGTGGTGACTATCAATGGGTATCGTTCGGAGACATTCTTAGTAACTTCAGGCATACCACTTAGGACCATTGTTATTTAACATATACATGAACAACTTTACTTCTGTTTTTCATTTCAGTAAATATTTGTTATATGCTATTGTTAAAAATGTAAATGACGGTGTAAAACTTCAAAGCGATTTGGAATCTCTGCAAAAGTATTGCACTGAAAACAGTATCTTTCTGAATTTAACAAAATGTCATTACATGAGGCTTACTAGAAACATAGCGAACACTATAGATTTCAGATATACGGCAGAACTGGAAAAGCTTCATGTATTAAAAGACCTAGGGGTATACATTGATGAGAAACTCTCATTCATCACTCACGTAGAGCACATCGTAAATGATGCAAATAGAACACTAGGGTTCATAAACAGGACATGCAGAGAATTTACGAACCCAAAAACGCTTCTTTCATTGTACTACGCTTATATACACAACAAATTGATGTTTGCATCAGTAATATGGAATCCGTCTTACAATGTACATATAGCCAGGATAGAAAATATTCGACACAAATTTTTGAAGATGTTAGCACATAAAACTCACCAAACTGTTACAGGTCATCATTATATGCAAATTATGAAACAGTTCAATATGATTTCCTTAAAAGATAGAAGAACGATTTCTGACATTTGCTGTGTTCATAAATTGTTGAGTGGCCTCACTGACTGTCCGGATCTTTTGGCAAACTTGAACTTTAACACTCCTAATAGAACGTTTAGAACCTATCATCTGTTTAGAATACCGTTCCGTAGAACTAATCTTGGGCTTAATTCCCCTTTGGTCAGATCTCAAAAAAATCATAATAATTTCTGTGATATAGATTTATTTAACATTAGCTTGACGTTCCTGAAAAAGGCTTTAAAGTATGAGTATTACAGCTCTATGGCAGACTAAAATAGAAATGTTTTATTTTTTTACATAACTCAAGTTATCACCTCAATATCATTTCTGGTATAATTTCAATTTAATTTTGATTTCAGTTTTAATTAAACGTAAGTAAATGTTAAATTATGTATACTCCTTTTATTAAAAAAGTTAAATTAATAGTTTATTGCTTATAATAAGAACTACTGGCTCAGTTTATGTTGGTACAACAATATCGGAAGATAAAAAAATATTAATATTAAAGTATTCAGTAATGTAATATATGTATATGTATACGATATTTTATGTAAGTTTAGTTTTAGTTCACTGAGAGTGTGTGTTGGGTTTACCTGTTAACACCCCAAACTGTATATAAATAAATAAATAAATAAACAAGCCTCATGACGTTTAGGCAACACGTATAACTAAGTGCAAAGTTAACATCTTGTAGAAAAACCTACATCATGTCAAAAAAAACTGCACAATGTCAAAAAAATCGGCATAATGTCACTTTTCAAGATACGTGATACCCGTGCCGATCGTTGCCTTAAGGGATGCGTTTGTAAATTACTTGGTAAAATAATCTATAGACAGCAGTGGCATAATATATACATTGACAGATGAAAATTTACTCTGGGAAGCTTTATTTTCAGAACGCCTAAAGTACTACAGAATCATGTAAAGGCACTTTATGATAGCTAATTTCAAACCGCATTTTTTGCGACAATTGTTTTTATCATAAGAATTGTTAAGTAAAAATACGTATTCAGCTAGTTTTGGTCACTTTTTGGTAACCAAGTCAAGTAAGCAAACAATGAACCATAAAAATGACAACTGACAATACTCGTATTTCCAAGGCAGCACAAGGTGTTGAGCACGGGGAGAAAAGTTCACTCTTGGTAGGATTACTTTGTTCTATTTCCGAACGCATTGAACAGGAACGTCAAACAATAACGAACGATGAAGATGTAACAGAGTAGTACAAAGGACACTCTGTAACAATGTACGAACTCAGTCCAGCAGATGGAAGTAGTGTATTTGTTACACAAGATGAAGCGATACTTATGCGTTAAAACAGGCATAGCGAAAACGATCAGTAGGGAAGTTTAGAGGAGGGGGAGGGGTGGTATATTCAGACACGAAAATTTCATTTGATTTTGATGTATCTGACCTACTATACATTGAGCCGGAGCCCTGGGCAAGTGTCTCTTGTACTCATACATTACAGACGAAATAGATTGAGGATCATTTGCTATAACTTTTTAAGAGCCTGTGTAGCTGGTTGAATATGATATCACAATGTCTCAAAAAATAGGTACTCACGTATTTGGCAGAGGAGACCTGTGTATCCAGGACGGCATTTGCACTCCAAAGGCTTATCGCAGTAGCCATGGACACAGCCTGGAAGTACCTGGCATTCTCTACAGTTACGTCCAGCCCATCCTAGTCTGCACCTGCATTCTCCAGGAGCCTCGCAGTAACCTCGGGCTGGATGGCAATCCGAATGACATAAGGCTATAAAAGATAATATATAATTTGACTATAGCGCGTGTTTCATCATTAAGACCGGAATTAAGGACTGTTCATCTAAACTTAGTTCATAAAAATGTTGATAATATTCTGAAACAAATGATACTTTTAAGGCCTACATAAGAATTTCCGTTTTTTTAAACAACTGAGATTTGGCAATGAAAATTATTATTTTTTTAATCAGAATTGAAAACTCTGTTCAGCTGTACAAACACCCGAAGTGGCAATTATAAGAAAAAATTAAGCGGACGATTGAGGACATTTAAATGATAGGGTCATGTAGAAGAGCATGTAGGTATGTAACCAACTTCGGAACTCATGCCGCTTCCGAGATTCCAATGGTGAAAGCCCAATTTGGAACATGTATATATATATCAGGACCTGCGCTATACGTATTCTGGAACATTTATTGTGATTTGATTAACTAGAGCTTTTCCAATATTTGTCAAAGAGGTAGGTCCTAGAAATAATCATTAATTTCATATCATTTCTAATGCTCGGATAGTCAGTTGTTCTCTTGTTGATGGACCAATATAGCTCGACTTATTCTATAGTCCGGGAAGTATCTTCGCATTTGTTTGGAATAATATTCAGTATCGTTTTGCTTTATTCAAAAAAGACTCCTCCTGATGGGCTAAAAATTGCGTCAAACTGCTTCGGGATTTTGTTAATATATGTTTGAATATTTAAGAACTTTGGATACAATAAATTTTGCATATATTTATTATCCGAAGTCGAAAATGGCATATTGCCGCAGTTTTTCAAATATCTAAGATATCTTTGAAAGTAGCGAAAAAAAAATAATTAATAGAATTTGTTCCAGAACAGTTTTTGACCCAATTTTGAGAATCGCAACATTCAGATTCGTCAAAATGAATTATTTTTAATAAGATGCGGAGATACATGTTCTTCCGAATAAGTATTTATATCTTTAGTACGTGAATTAAATCATGTGCAAGGAACTGCTTGTTACAAAACACTTAATATTAACTGCCTCTTTCAGTAACGTTTTTGTTGCATAAATATATCACTACCTTATTTAAAAGTTAATCACGGTGAAGCGGCCCATTGTTTGTTAAAGCTACTTTACTCAATTTGGAAATAATTATGCATGGTGCCACGTGGCAGAAGTTCTCGTAATTTATTGAAAATGCTGTTTACGGCACTCTGCCTGTATAAGCAAACACAATTCCGCTACATTATTAATCTGTCATTCTTAATATCACCGGAAAGGAGCATTGTAATGAAAATCCTAATTTCTTTTGTATTGTATATCTCTTTCCATTGTTAAGATAAATGTCTTCCTTATTCCACTTCCCAATGCAATATAAGGGAATACCTATTGAGAAGCTTCAGACATGTAGCCTTCAGGGGTCTATATGATATATTTTTCTTTAAAGCAGAGGTGGCTAGAAGAGTAAAATTTTATCCCCGCATTGTGGCTGTGAGGTTAATAGTCAACCCCAACCACACATTACCGGGCTCATGATGGAAACTCGGATGGCTACCTTCATGCGACTTGTAAGTGGATTGCCTATGCATATAAAGAATTTGTTCATAGTTGTTTGGCTTGTAACTGAGTTGTAATTGGTGATAGGTATGCCTATTATATATGTCTATACGTAAAATTTGCAAAACGCGAGATTCATATCGAAATACGACAGTAGCAAGTGATATCTGTTACCAGAATAAGCCACTGCGAGAGTGAAAACAGCAAGCCATCTGTTGGAACTTTATTACAGTTTGCACTGTCAGGTGGGTCACCACTGTGACCGCTAGATGTCGCCGATTCTGGTGCTATACCAGATACGGTCTACTTGACGTTGAATAAACTAGCAATATAGCTTTCGTTCGTTTGACCACAGCGGCTAACCATAGACCGCTGTTTCATGCTATTAGGCAACTCATCAGCAACAGTGCCATCTATTGCCACAATCGATCACTGCAGTTTGCATTTGACATTTGTCTTATTTCTATAGACCGTATGTTCTGGATAGAGGACAGTTGCTAAGCTTTCGCTCGATGTCCTATTTGTAGTCGGATGATTGAAAGCTACGTTACTAGTTGCCAGATAAATATATACTGTAGATTTTATGCTAACCGTTATTATCAGTCTCTACTGAGCTTAGTCTGTTCGCTAAATGGGCAAATACCTACGTTCAGAACAGAAGAGTCCATCAAATCCTTCATGGCAGATACATTGGAAGCTCTCATTGCAGTAGCCATGCTGGCATCCTGGCAAGGGTATACATCTGAAAAGCAAGTGAGAATTTACTTGTCAATAGAGATCCATTTTATGCTTTTAATTAAACAAGCTTTAAGGGGAAAAGGGAAGAAGGAAAGAAAAGAAGGAAGAGCAAAGAAAGGAAACAAATCATTTGAAATAGCTTAAGCATTATTGCTCTGACTACCCAAATAATTTTGTAACTCCAAAGAATAATTTTGATCGGTTTTGTTTTTCTGAAATAATTTTAGTTGGTCTGAGATTCACAGCTTAATTTTGATCACAGTGCGAGGCGCGGCCTGGAATGTTTCGCAATTCTCCCCCTTCAGAAAATTGCTAAGAACCAGTCGTTACCAGATAGTGAAACAACTTCGTTGTCTATCGTCGAGGAGGTGCTCTAAGTGAAAACACACATTCAGTTGCAGTGCAATCACTCTCGGAATCTCTGTTTTTTGGGCTGAGCAAAACTGAGCCCTACTTCGTGTTCAGAAACAAAAAAAAATGCTTTGGAATCACATGTCACATTTTAAGTGTACCCTGCAACGTCGTCAATGTTAGTAAAAAGGCCGAAAGTTATAAATAAGAGAAAGTAATAAATAAGAGAATAAGAGTAAAACAGTGAAAAAGGAGTTAGTAATGCGTTATTAAGAAAACATAAGTTTCCAGTCATGCATATTTGCAAAAATATTACTAGTTTATGGTACTTTCACTATTTTACGGGGTGCTTAGGGGACACTCGGGGGTGGGAGTGGTTCATTTAGAGTGAAGTTGATTTAGTTTTCTTAGTCGATACTACAGCAACTGATTTTGAACATTTTCATCTAAATTAAATTATTATATATTTTATATAGCCTTATTAACCGTCTTCCAATTTAAGATAAAATAATTCGTATTGTGTGGAACGCTTATTATATTACACGACGCTTTTGTTGTATTCCTACCTGTTACACTTATCACCATAGTACCCGAGCTTGCATAAGCATTCTCCAGGTCGATTGCAGTACCCTTGCAGTGGATCACAGCCTGGTCGACACTTCGGGACGTCGCAGAGGTCCCCTGTCCAACCTGCCAGGCATTTCACCTCACCATCATCAGTACAGATGTAATGGGAGTGCTCGGAATGGGAAGATGGAAGCTCACAAGCCTGCGAAAAATAGAAGTTTATGTAGCTGGGGCGTTAAGTGGGTATTTTTGGTCCCCGGCACGAAACTAGACCTCGGAATATAGAGGGTTGCGAACTCTAACGCGCCAAGGGACATAGCCGCCTCTATGCACGGGATACATACAAAAATGTAGGGTAAGGTAGTTGAAGCTGATGCCTAGCAGCAAGATGCCCTTTGAATAAACATAATGTACATGAGGATAGCAAGGTCTAGGTTCAAGCTATTCTGCTCAAACATCAGAAAAAGATGCAAGTGCACAAAGAAAAAAATATATACAAGAAGTTAGCGCAAAGTTGTCGTAACTAGCATCAAAGAATTGCGCTAAAAAAAAAAACGTTTACAATTAGGCATCGCAGAATTGTCATATATATATAATATACACGATAGCGTAGTGCAGTTCAAAAGTTAATAAAAGCATGGCAAGGTAAGGCATGAATATAACTATCATCATTGAGATATTATCACAAATAATTGAAAAAAAAACAGTTAGTTAAAAAGTGTGTACTAACATTGTAATGCAGGAATGAAGTATGGCCTTGATAGTGTTCAGCTCCGAAACCAGGTAACATAGCAAAATTCCAGCTCTATTGAGAATCAAAAATTAAAGTTGTAGGCTCAGAATTCATTCATTAGACAAAAAATTGCACATAGGAATCGCATGCATTATAAAAACACGACTCATGAAACATTGCCGTCCTGCGTTTCTGCAGTGGATTATCGAGCAAGGTAACTAATTTGCAAGATTTGGAAGATCAGGTCTTTTCAACATTTTATGAGTGAATATGCATAAATACAGCCTACGTCTATTCTCCATATTAGGCCATTTACACTCATTGATTTTATGTATCACTAGGTCATACTTCTTATTTCCATAAATTAATCTACAACTGTGTTGAACGATCTGAATACGAGATTTATCTGCCTGTGTCAGACAGGGTCCATAAATGATGTAGCAGTAGTTGAAGTGACTTAGGACCAGTAATTCGCATAAGGTCTTCTTTAGATTTCTCCCAAGATAATACTTGCTACTGCAAATCAATCTGTCTTACTGATTAGATTTTGGATATGGCCACTAAAATGAAAGTTTGAGCCTGTAACTAATCCTAAGTTACGAGACGAGTCACATTCCTGCAATGTCTGATTGTTACGGTGTCTCTTAAAATATTAACACTGTTTTTATTGCAAAAACATAATACTTCCAGAATTGAGAGTTAAATTATTTTCACGCGACAATACGGGCAGTTCTCGATGGGAATTATTTAATTTAAAGATAGCGTGAGTTAATGTTCTTTTACTGCTCTAGGGCACCAAGAAGTCGGTGGGTTGAATTGTAGGAGCTAACCTCGAGAAAATCTGTTTACAAAACACCTCTCACCGCCGTCTTGTGGGTAAAACATTCAATTAAAATGTTTCTAACTAATTTAACACTTGAAATGTATCCCGTGGTTTTCGTGCTGACAGTTTTCCGTTTTCTGGTCCATACAATTAGTACATAGACATTCTTTTCCTGCCTTGCCAGTTGTTGCCATCCATCTGGCAACGTCGCCTCCCATATCGTCAGACTACACAGCGCCCCATCGTCGAAGTACGAGTATAGCAGTCAAGCGTATTGAAAACATTTCCCTATTCTCTATCGCCACCATTTCTGAGCATTTCCTTTTTTTGTTAATTAAATGTAAGCTCAATAACTGCCTGCATTATTATTATTTTAGTACCTTCCACAAAGAATGATAAAAAAGATACTTTTTTGGTTTACAGTTGTGTTATCCTTTAATGGGTGGTCCCAGAGAGTAAATTTTTCCCTACATCAACATTAGAATTTCCTATGATCGTAGTAGATTTTAGCGTCCGAAATTTTTTAATTGTCATTAGCAATAAAGTAGCAAGTAGCAGTCCCGGAGCCTCCTCCTGATGGATCCCTAAAACTGCTAAAACACGGCCTCAGAGTGCAACAAAGTAAAAATCGGTAATAGGATCTAGAGCACAAGGATATGAGAGGATAGTGAAACTCCTTGTGTATGGACATGGACATATTTTTATGCAAATATCAGCCGGAAGAGAAACTTTTTACGATAAATTATTGCACGCATAGTATATGCATCTATCGTAATACAGGATGGAAAAGCTAAATAAAAACAACCTGAGTAGCTTATTTTGTCATGTTGGATCTCATAATTCCACTTTAGGGCTAAGAAGCATTTAAAATTTATGACTTAGAGCTTTGAGGCTGTTCGTAATTTTGAAAAGGAATAACAGGCGTGTAGTGCCATTATGGTGCCTTTTAATCAAAAAAAGGTAGACATGATAAAAAATTTCACTGAAAGGCTTTCTAAGAATGCATCGACAACTGTATAGCTCCAAACTTTCATTTGGGAGCTTAACGTGATTGAGTTCACTTAAAATACCAGCTCAAAATTGGAATAGAATGATAAGTCTTGTTGACAAAGTGACGCAGTTTCAGTACGAGCGATAAACATTTAGAAAATTTTAACAAAGAATATAAAAGGAATGTCAGGCAAGGGTCGCCCTGTATAGTACCAACGCCTTTCTATGAATTGTTTTATTGGTGACGCAAGTGTTCTGGAACGTAGGAGAGAGGTTGATGACATTTAGTACTATTGAACTATTTGCACATTCTTTTCAAACAAATCACTTCAGACTTCAGCAATAAATATCGTTATTGCACCTACGCATAACACTCTCCAATTAGGTTCTATATATGCAGTGTCCCAAATGTCTGAGAAACGCTTCCTAACAACCAGATATGCAGCGTTTGCTTACTAGTTTTTTGATTTAACGATGTCGTGTGAGATGACATGGTTTCTACGTTGCTTTTTAGAATGAATTTACTTGTCAAGGTGTTAATCAGAGCATATTAAAACTAGGACATTATACTAACTTTTCGGCTCATTGTTGTACTTAAGTGACTACTATCTTCAATTCGACGTTACCTATTTCAAAATATTCAAATCTCTACAAAACCTTGCTCATTTTCAACTGCACCTGCTTTTTTTTGCAGCAAGTTCGCTAATGTATATTGAAAACTTAAGTTAAAGAAAAAGAACCCTTTTCATAGTTGTATACATTTTAGATAATTTCTCCACTCAGAGCTTGCAATATCACCTACTAAAATCTACTCTTTAAAATTACAACAAACAAAAAGCCGATCTTCTAGACCATAAGGCATCATTAATTCGCCTAGCAGATATGACTTTCATAAAAGGTCAATGGTACCAATATAAATAAGAAAGTACTGAAAACAGTAGAAAACTACTACTAAGCCTTACCTGTTTCTTCCACTTAGGTACATATCTTCCGGCACCAATTACACTAGGTACCACTGCACAAAGCACTACCAAAACAATCAACCCAAATCTTGCATCCATGGCCGCATATAAAAAACAAAACCGAATCAAGTATCATTAACGGTACGCGATACTAGGTGGCCGTGATCTTGAACGTGGACGAAGAAATGAAGAACGCTGACCTCGATTTGCTTGGTCTTCCTCTTCGTCTTCTCGTGACGCGTTCATAGTAACTGTAAGTAGACAGCGGAACCTGTTTTGATGCAAGTAAAATACGATGGATTTTGTCACACAATCAATAGAAGCTTTGCTTGTTACAGGTGTCAACGGTTGCTCATTATCAGAACGAATTAATGTATACGGTTGATAGGCTGCTTCTATAGATACTGACACACCCGTTTCAAACTTGCTACCTTGTGGTCTTACAGGTCCTGCCGCTCTTGACGTATTGGAAAAATGGCATGCAAAAGGTGTTTTGGTTACGTTTCCGCAATGTATTCGATCCGGTTTTGTAAATAGCTCTATCACAAATGGCATCTCGTCAAAATGCCGGTAAAAAGCAAGTTTATCTGTTTAGGGCTAAAAGGTACTGTTCTCCTTAAAACCTCCTCATACATCTGACGGGCAATCGGCGATATTGCTCTTTTCTACCGTTATGTCAACAGGCTTTGCTCCTCAGTCCGCCAGGTATACGACTACTCCAATATAAAAAAAGGCAAAATTCGCTTCGACTTATGAACCAATAATTTGTGTTACTTGGAGTTTCAAGTTTTTGGTCTAGTCAGTTTGGATTGCAAGAAACAAATCTTTTTATAGAGAGAAAATGTGTGGAATTTTCATTTTGATTTTCGGAAGAAATAAAATGCAGCTTTGTAACAAAGAGCTTTAATAACTATTAATCTACAATAAATAATATTATTCTTCAATGGCTTTGTTTAAAGTTTTGATGAGGGGTTCATAGATGAGTCGCCTCGCATGTCTTCCAAAAACGAAGTCAACGTGAGTGAAGAAATCTAGGTCTATCGTCCTGAGCTCGTATCTGCTGCGTGGAGGTAGGTGGTTCCAAAGGTTGATTGCATCCTATAGAAACAATAAAATTCTATCAAATACTAAACATTTTTTAATAATGGGTGATTTTTTGCTAGTATCTTTTTGGCAACACCGTTTTTGACAGATGACGCGTGAATCGTGTCTTGTGTCATTGTCAAACTTGTTCAGTTTGGTCTATAATTTAACCATGAATCGACTTACGAACGAACACCGCTTGCAAATTATTGAATTTTACTATCAAAATTCATGCTCGGTTAAGAGAGTACATCGAGCACTGCTTCCAATTTATGGGCAATTTGGTCGGCCTACTGAGGGAGCTATTCGGAAGCTTGTGACTAAATTTCGAACCCAGTTTACATTATTGGACATTAAACCACCAACACGCAGACGTAGAGTGAGGACTGAAGAAAATATTGCGGCTGTATCCGCCAGTGTTAGTGATGACCGTGAAATGTCGATTCGCCGCCGTTCGCAGCAATTGGGCCTCTGTTACTCCACTACGTGGAAAATTTTGCGACCGGATTTGGGTGTAAACCTTTATAAGATACAGCTGGTGCAAGAATTGAAGCCACACGACCTCCCACAACGTTTCTAATTTGGTGAATGGGCGCTGGCAAAGTTGGAGGAAGATCCACATTTTTATCGAACGACGAAGCTCATTTCTGGTTGAATGGGTACGTTAACAAGCAAAATTGTCGCATCCGGAGTAATGACCAGCCAGAAGTATTGCAAGAGCTACCAATGCATTCCGAAAAAATCACTGTTTGGTGCAACATTTTTTTGCCCAAAATGGAAGAGCTGCACTTAGCTGACATGTGGTTTCAACAAGACGGTGCCACATGCCACACCGTACACGAAAAAATGGCCCTATTGAGAGGCGAGTTCGGTGAACAAATTATCTTACGTTTGGGGCCCGTCAATTGGCCGTGTGATTTAACGCCGTTGGACTATTTCTTGTGGGGCTATTTTAAGGCTAATGTCTACAGGGATAAACCAGCAACGATTGACGTACTGGAAGCCAATATTGAAGCATTTATTCGTGAGATACCGGCCGATATGTTGGAGAGAGTGTGCCAAAATTGGACCTTGCGCATGGGCCGTCTAAAGCGGAGCCGCGGCCAACATTTACATGAAATAATCTTTAAACATTCAATTATATCGACCGTTCTATCGACTCAGATAAAGATTCAGTCGTTTTTTCAAATTTTTGTGTTTTTTTTTAAATAAAATCCTATACCTCTTAAAAAATCACCCGTAGTATGTGCTTGTCAAGGTGTAGTCTACTGGAAAGACATCAGCCTTATATAATTTTTGTCGAATGTGATGTTTGAATTGAAGCTCTTGGGGAACGCACAATTTTGTTCAGACATGACTGACCAGTTATTCATGGCGACCGAGACTGATTATGTGTAGTAGTGTACAGGCCGATGAAAGGCAACCATTTTGAGACGACAGAGGGGATCCAAGCAGCATGCACCGCGGCTCTCAAGGCTATTCCAGAGAATGCCTTCCGTGACGCCTTCAATGCTTGGAAATCGCGCTGGCAGCGCTGCATCGACGCAGAAGTAGCCTATTTTGAAAGTTTTTAAAGAATTGTAACGATTGGCTCAATATTTTTTTTTAAATAGGCTCAGTCCTATTACTTTCCGGACAAAGCCTGTATTGTGAGATTAAAGCATCCTTAGGTATTAGTTCCACGAGCATACATAAAATATTACATGATCATTTAGCTGTGAAAAAGGTCTGTTCTTGTTGGATTCCTCATGATTTTACAGAAGCTCAAACAGATGCTCAAACAATATAACGGCAGAGCTTCAAAAGACGCGTATAAGATTGTAACAGGTAATCAATCATGCATCTATGTTTATGAGCCGGAAAGAAAACGACTGTTTGGGTGTTTCAAGACGAGCCAAATCCGACAAAGGTTCGTCGCGCAAATTAGTTTGCTTTCATTATTAGGCTCAAAATATAAATAGTGTTATTCGATGAAACCAAACTTTATATACTGCCAAACTGTGGCAGATGGTCGGAAACGGTCATCAAACGTTTTCGAACATGTCCTTTGAGTGACAAAGCACCATTTAAATACCTTCCTACAAACTAATCTCTGATTTGGACTCGACCGAGAAAATCTATATAGCACGCGTCTGGACTCGAATGCTAGACTTACTTTGAATTTGTCTTTGCGCTGACCTTCGAATGACCTTCATACGTCCGCATAATGACCAGCTGATCTCTGATTCGGACTTAGCAACCAGAAAAACCTAAATGACGTGTAGATGGGACCAACTCATAGAGATAAACTGAGCTCAGTTTTAAAATCAGCGACCCTAAAGACCCTATTGTAGAACTCGTAGAAATGCCGTAAAAATCCATTTTTAACAACTTTTCGGTGTTCCAGCTATAGATACTGTTATATACAGGGTGTCCGCAAGGTTGGGGTTTTCCTTTTCAGAAACAACTACCCTTGAAATAACAAAGGTAATGTGTAGTGAAACGAGGGCGACCAAGTAAAAAACAAATAAAGGAAAAAGTACTCACTCTCTAGTTGACGAGAAGGGCTAAGTACGTCTCTGCCCGAAATCATACCGCTCCAACAAAAAATGAAATCAGCTGATGCGCTACCGAGCAGACGCAGGCAAACAAGGAAGGCAAAATGTTGCGTAAAAAGTCTAGGTATTGCATCCCGTCCAATCGATTTCGGAGAATAAATGGTCCAATGAGCATACCGTTCACCATGCCAGCCCAAACATTCACCGAAAATGTTTGTTGAAAATGTGCCCGACGGACAGCGTGCGGATTTTCTACTGACCAAACATCAGTGTTGCGAAAGTTATTCACCCCATTACGCGTGAACGTAGATTCATCTGTCACCAATATGCACTTCAAAAAGTCCGGATTATTGTCATGTTGATGCAACAACCACTCACAAAATCGCATTCTTGCTGGAAAATCGTCAGGTTGAAGGGCTTGTACACGTTGGACGTGAAACGGATACATCCCCTCTTCACGCAGCGTTTGCCACACTTTAGTTTTTGATACTTGCACTTCTCTAGCCTCGTCTCTAGTGCTTGTTGAGGGATTCTCGTCTACGCGATTACCTCTACACGCGTGACCGTAACCGTCGGTTGAAGGTTGCATACTGACCTGACACAGCAGAGCCCTTTATCTCGATTCCTTTAAGACATTGGTGTATATGGTACTAAGAAATATTGCTTATGTTTTCAAGATCTACACGTCGTGTAAAGGAAAACCCCAACTTTGCGGACACCCTGTATATTATTTTTCATCCTGAACTCTGGCGCTTATAGTTTTCGAGTTATCCATGCTGATGTTACATTTTTTTTCTGTAAAAACGATGGGTTCTTGTTTTTTCAGAGCTATTCTGGTCCCACCTTAACTCATTTCATTCCATTATAAAGAATAAATAACATGGCCAAACGTTATCATCACTTGTAACTCCCAAAATTGTTATATGAGTATGTATACCTGACATTAATTTAATCAGACCGTTTTATTTGCAACCTTTGAATATACTGTGGTCTCCTTTACATAGTATCTTCCAAAACAGATGGAAAAACAAAAATGCCACACCTTCCCCGTTGAATGGATTTATGGAAATTGAAGAGCGAATTCGACCACCATGGTAAGTGTGTCTTTAAAAGATGATCTGTTAAGATCCACTTTCTTATTCAAGTCAATACTTACAGCTTCTGTGGTGGCCCAGTCTTGTTTACTAACAACTACGTGAACAGGAACTTGTAACCGACTGATGTCGTAGACTGGCGCATGAGGAGTGCCGTAGTGCTTTATATTGCCCTCCTCATAGTAATTGTACTTTCTGAAGTTACCTCTAACCAGGTCTGCAGCATGGTTCAAGATCTTGATCGAAGTACCTCCTGGCAACTGGTTGAAATAAACCGGTATGCTTTCCTGAAAATATAAATGTTCAAAATACAAAATATTCTCATACATGTTCTTGCATTTGGACAAGTAGTAGTGGTAGGGAGGCGAACCCAGGCAAGTAGGTCACCTTTGGCGCTTCCTGCCGACTGCCCTTGGTCAATAGCCTATTGAGTACTATACAAAGTTGCTGAAAATGAAGCGCAAAACTAGGACTCAACTCATCTCGCTTGTACATACTATATACCTGGAAGGCGATGTAAGAAGGACCACTTATGGGGCAAACGGTATGATGGTAGGCAATACCAGTATGGAGGAGACAGACATGTTGGTAGAAATATATCACCACCACAGTCTGAGAAATTTCTCAAGGAAGCAACATATGCTAAGCCCTGCTCAGTGATAATTACACAAAGGATTAAGCGGGAACAGCAAGCGGACTTAATAAGGACAAATATCTCTGCTTACACAGATGGTGCCAAGAGCCAAATAGGTGTTGGAGCTGGTATCTAGGTTTCGATGCTAAATATTGGAAAATTAGTCAGCCTAGACAATTGGTTCTCAATTTTGGAAGTGTGTACTAATTGCAGAATGACAACTGAGGCACAGTACTATAAATATCCTTTTAGACAGTGAAGCTGTGGTTAAAGCACCTCACCCCACCTACTCTACTTCGTGTGGAAATCTAAGGTAGGGTAGATAACACTGGACAACAAATTTTAGTTTTTTAGTTGTATCTTGTGGGAAAAGTGCACTTCTTTGTTAATTTTGGGGCGCTGAATCCAAAAATGACAATGAAATAAAAAAATTAGTTGCGGTTTAGAAAAAAAACTTTTTATTTTTAAGGATATATTAAAAAAAGTAACAAGATTCATATACTTATAAGAATCACTATATGCGCTGTCTTTTTGCTGTTCTTTTATGGATCGTTTCTGGAGCATCTCTACCAAGAGTCCAACAGTAGTCTGCAAGCATGGAAGGATTCCACTTTCCCTGGTACCTTTTTTCCATTGTTGAAATATCCTGATGAAAACGTTCGCCGTGCTCATCACTTACGGCTCCACAATTGTCAGGAAAAAAGTCCAGGTGTGAGTGTAGGAAATGTATCTTAAGAGACATATTATAGCCCATCTTTTGATACGATGACAGCATATTTTTGACAAGGGTTTTATAGTTGTCAGCTTTTCTATTTCCCAAGAAATTAGTGACCACCAGACTGAAATCATCCCAAGCAGTTTTTTCAATACCTGTTAAAGTGTTTTCAAACTGCGTATCTTTCAAAATATTTCGAATCTGTGGCCCAACAAAAATACCTTCTTTAACCTTTGCCTCACTTAGTTTTGGAAATTTCTGACGCAGGTATTGAAAAGCTGACCCATCTCTATCTAATGCCTTGACAAAGTTTTTCATTAGGCCCAACTTGATATGCAGTGGTGGTAATAAATTTTTTTTCGAATCTACTAATGGCATATGCTGTACATTTTTTTGACCTGGCTCTAGGAATTGACGAACAGGCCAGTTTTGTCTGGTGTGATGAAGTGCCTTTGCCCGACTGTCCCATTCACACAAAAAACAGCAAAACTTTGTGTAGCCTAGCTGCAGCCCAAGTAAAAGTGCAACAACTTTCAAATCGCCACAAATATGCCATTGGTGCTCATCGTATTTTATGCATGTCAATAGGTACTTCATATTGTCATATGAAACATCGTCTTCTAACAAGTTCCACTGCCGCAGTCTTGATCCAAGTAACTCTGCCTTACATTTTGGAAGTTCTAAATCTCTTACAAGATCATTTAATTCTGACTGTGTTATTTTGTGCGGTTGGTGGCATGACGTGCTCGGTATAAAATCAGGATCTCTTGACGTTGATGGCATATCTTCTTCCTGACGAATCACTCGATCGCCATGATATGATTCGCAAGTGTAGGATTCTGGGGGTTTTGGAATAGGATTTTCGTCATTGTGAGGCATAGGTCTCATCGCAGATGGTATGTTTGGGTAGTTAATAACCGATTTGTTTTTCTTGGACATACCTGTGGCTTGTCCAACACAAGGTACCATGCAAAAGTAACAATCATTAATATGATTTGTAGGCTCTCTCCAAACCATTGGGACAGCAAAGCGCATAGACCGTTTTTTGCCATTTAACCAGCTCCTCAGACTTGAAGCACATGTATTACAGCAGATGTGGGGTGCCCACTGTTTGTCTTGATCACGTAGTTTACAACCGAAATAAAGCTGATATGCCTATGTTATTAGTGGAGTAATAGACCGTCTCTGAGACGCAAAAGTCACATCACCACACACGTAAACAACTGATCTGGATTGTTTACACACTTTCGAGACATCTTGCATGAACGCTGTCAGCCAACTGAGGAAAAAATGGCTAATATAAAACAATATAATGTACACGTATGTATAACGTAACACAATCGTGCCGATTACATCATCTTTCCTTGCCGAATATAAAAATGTAGCACGGGCATTCTTGTGAATTACAGTATATTAACACTGTCACAGCAGGAACACATATAATTACCGTATCTCTAAAACTTGAACTAATATTGAAAAAATAAGTTTCATTCCGGTTTTAGCACATTAAAAATAGTAATATTTTGTTGATTTTATTTAGGATGTTTTTTGGCTGTTGATCAGTGTAATGGAAGTGAGGTCCATTTCATATGGATAAGATAGGTCGGAAGGAAAACGAAACAGTTGACATTTTGACAGAGGCTTAAAAACTCCTCCACCCATTCTGTTTAGAATAATATTTTTTCAATCAAGGTAGGAGATTCACTGATGCTGCCAGATAGCTTTAAAGCTTCACAGATTGCGTCACCACACAGGCAGGCTGGGCATGGTGGAAGACACGGAGTGCAGGCAGTTGGAGGAGTGTTGCTCCAAGTAGAAGAACTGAAAGATATTTCTCCAAGTCAACTTGTTTCAGTAACGGAGCTACGTTAGTAGATTTGAGCCACTATAGACCAGTGAGTCGCAGTGGAGGATCGTGATTGATCTAGCCACAACAGCTTAGCTTTACCTAGAAGTCTGAGAGGAAATAAGGGAAAACAGAGGATGTTCGACAGTCCGAGGAATGCTTTGAGAACGTGATACTATTCTAGAGTATTGATGTTGAAGTTTGGTATGGAATGGATTCATATAACTAGCTTGTCTTGTGTTGATGTACTTACCGGTCCAGTATCAGTGTTTGGTCCGTAGAACAAGTTATACAGCTGCATGCAGTACCTCATTAGCTCAGGAGATTCTGTGCAGACGGGAATGACTAGACGCTGCAGTTCTTCTGCTTGGGAAACAATCCTTTCAAGTCTCAATCTTCTCACGGTATCCTGTCAATGCGATATGATGGATATGTTAGTAATGAAATCGTATGATACCTTTAGATTTCCCATGAGGCATTTTTTGCCGAAAACCGCATTCTAAGGTTTAATGCTATGTCTCAGAAAATCAGTTTTGCCAAAGCTCCCGATATATTCATAAGAAATCTCGTGAATGCACGTCGATAGCCAAATATGAGACAACAGCTATGAATGTGAGATAAGCAATAAAATAATTTACGACGACACCAGCTTGCCGGGTCTATCTGAATTTCATCATTTTCCGAATTTTGGTGAAAGTCTAACCATTTCTATTACCCAATTGCAAGACCAAGAATCGTTACACGAATTGTACAAAATAAGTCAAGTCTTCCATGATCTCCGAGTGAATGTTCATCTTTTGAGGCTCTTTAAACATTAAGAAGATTTCGTTATATGAAATAACTGTTTGTCATATAAGTACCTGTATACCCGGTAATCGATCAAGCATGGTAAATAATTTCACTCTACCGGTACAAATGCCAAGCAAAAAATTAATATCTCCATCTAAATCAGTCTAAATAATCATATCTGTCTCTTGCATTGATAGTGGCACTGACATGCATGCGAATTTTTATGTAAATTTATTCTAATTTAAAAGAACAACTGCCTCGGGCTTGACTGGCAATGGTAATTCTAGGTTTGTTCGAGGTATAAAATAAACAAATGTTCTAAAGTACTTGAACCGCAACTATTGTATATAACTCGGATTATGATATAATCATAAATTTTAGAAATACGTTCCAACGTGCGCGATTGGTAAATACCATATTGATCCCCATTGAACAAGTGGCGTATAAGGGATTTTATTCTCAGCTGGATCCAGTCTTTCCTCACAGTTAGAAAATTGAAAACGAAGGTCAATGGTCATACGTCAACCCAATATTCCGTGAATATAGGTGCGGCACAAGGCTCAATACTTGTACCACTGCTCTTCATTGTATACATAAATGACTTGAAATGGTCTGGCTTCATGATTAATTATGCAGATGACACATCTAGCGTCGTCAGTGCCACGTCACCGCAGGATCTTCTTGAATCTATTGAGAAAGTCAAAAGTGAAATGAGCGAGTGGTGGCAGTCTAACCGCATCATTTTGAATGAATATAAGACTGTTGAAATTCATTTCTTCAACAAGAAACCACGCATGGATATTGATAGCTTTTCAGATCAAACTGCCTTCTTAGGAACTCATGTTGATAGTAAGGTAAGCTGGCAACCACAAATAAATCACATTTGCAACAAAATTAAAGTTTGCAATATTGAAATTAAAGCCTAACATCCATTTAAACTCACTCTTAGATATGTATTACGCGCTAGTTTATTCTCACCTCGCTAACAATATAATCATATGGGGACAGGCAACAATGATTAACAGATTATTCATCCTGCAGAAAAGAGTACTTCGATTAATTTTTAATATTAATAAGAGGGACTCTTGTAAAGGAAGACGCTTAATCTGCTTACATTAACTTCCATCTATATCTACAAATGTGCCGCCTTCGCATTTGAACATAACAATAGATTTGTTCGTAACAACACCATTAATAGTCAATACTACACTAGAACAGGCATGATCTGAGTATACCGACACATAACTCTGACCTATTCCAAAAATCTCCCACTTTAGCGTGCACTAAAGTATACAATAATCTGCCGAGTGAGCTGCGAAGAAGCACTAATATCCTTGCGCTGAAAAACCATCTCAGGAAATATCTAGTTGAAAAATGCTTTTACTCTCTACGTGAGTTTTAATAACACATGAAAGTATCTGTTTTTTAATTCTTTTAAGCTGTTAATCATTTCGTTATCAGTGAATTGCCTATTATCGTGGAGTAAATGTATTTTAATTTCTCTTTTTATTCGAGTTTTAATGAAACTATGGATGATTTCTTTTTGAGCTTTTAACCATTTGTCCTCACTGCTCGATGTTTATTGTGTTTATATATTATGTATTTCTAACAGATTCTCCTACCGCTTTTCTTTGTATCAGCTTGATGATTTTTACCGGCTAGACGAACATTTTTTGTGATAAAACAAGTCGCTGTATATGTATACATATATTTTTACCGTTACAGATTGAATACATTACGATTCTTGCGCTGTACCTAATATGTGATTTAACCTGTTAAAACGTTTTGTAATTGTAATGTCCTTATTTATTTTATAATTATAAGTATTTTCCGGCATATTTGCTCAAATGCATATATGACCCTCAAATTGATATTGACAAGTCTTATGTCATGTAACATGATCTAATAGGACAATAAACTATCTATCTATATATCTATCTATCAAGTACGCCAACTCTGCGCTTTCCATTTATAAAAAAAAACTGAATGGACCAAGTCGGTTAAACAAGCGCATACAAGCAGTCCATAGTCTCCACCCATTTGATAACGCTGCGATCTAGACATTTCTCCCCTACCCTACCGACAATATCAATCATCTGGTAACGTTGCTGAGCCAGTCAGCCATGAACCAGCGGCAGCGGTGAGCGGGGTGTTGTGTACATACGTTTGTTGCATTGTTGGAAATATGTATGTTTTAACGGGAAATTTACGGAGAACCTATATTTTGTGAAATATGTATTAGTAGGTATGTGGAATTACCGGGCCTGGGAGCGTATAGGTATGCCGCCAAAAATTGAGATATATCCTCCCTCTTCCCCCACAAACCCCTAAAGCGGAGGCTTGAGTGATTTTAATTATTTAGTTTTTCATCTGTAGGTCTAAGTAATTTTTCATCAAAATCCGACTGATACTTTCTAAGTTATATAGGTATCAAGGAGTAGCGGACATACAAACAGAACGTCGGAAATAAAGAGATAAAAGGACTTTCAGAAACTGCTTGTACTCCAACGACTACTACTGGGTTATTTTTGCTACTTGTAACAAATAAATATTTTAAATCTTACAGCCAGTAACAATAGAAATCGCCTTAGATTTACAGGGAACTGTAACAGATTGTCAACCCATGTTTTGAGGTACGTTTTTAAAACAACACATAAGATCTCACTTATGTTGGTTATGCGTAATCTGCAGGTGCCCCCTGCCTGTTTATTTTGGTCATATTGACATTATATTGACCAATCAGCGAGTTGAGGTTCTGTGCTATGCATAATATGTTCTCAACTGACTGATATTACCCGCAACTATAGTTTTGTTTTATTTAATGATGTTTGTGTTTTCCTGTTTTATTTCCTATCAAAGTGTTGATTTTTGTGTGAGTCGTGATACTCCCCATAATTATTTTCGGGGTCCAATTTATTCAATTCATTCGTAGATGATTCTCCTCACGTATTTCAAATTTTTAATTTACTATTTAGTGACTCCTCCTTTAGATGTTGATCATCTGGGTGCTTCCTACGGTTTGACGTGTGAAGCAAAAGCTTTTTTTTCCGACCCTGTCACTTTTTTATAATAAAAAGTACGAGAAGTGACTCTGTAAAAATCTACAAATAGTGCCGTAATTCGTATATCTTAGACTGAAAAAATCGACCAGAACCACCTAGGAACAGGCGCTCACATTTTAAGTAAAATATGGCACATCAAAAGAGGAACATAATTATGTGATAGACAGTGTTTCTTACACAGATGGTACCACCGGCGACGAAAAAACACTTGTTATACTATTGCTTCACAGATGGCGCCGGTAGTTATCAAGAAAAATCAGGTGAATTTATAATGCTCGTAGTAGTAGGTAGTAGAAATTTTTAGTGTCCGATAGAAACTGGTACTTCAGCCGAAATCGAAATTTCGGTGCAATTTTAGTTTTGGCTGAAACCGGAACTGAAACTTTTAACTGGGGAGTATGATATTATTCATGGGAGTTTGGTACCTCCTAATGGGAAGTAAGATAGTAGTGTATCTCCAAGAAAAGACAAACTCAATCTCTATCAATTACTATTAGTAATAATAACTACAGTTTATTAAAAAAGAAGAAAAAACAAACTGTATAATATGCAATAATCAGTCTTTATCAAATATCATTGAGGCTTAGGTAAAGAAAACTAACATTTGTCCCTTAGAACACCAAAAATGTCTTTTTGTTTCTGATATTTTGTAAGAAAACAAACAATAAAACAAAAATAACAACTTATTGCCTGTTGCACCAGTACTATTTAACGTTAGTTCGGAAATCTAGTTTATTTAGAAGATGTACAATGCACAAGTACTTAAACCTCGATTAAAGTTTTGTAAACTGTGTTTAAAAATGAACAATTTTTGGAGTCTAAAGATCGCCAGTTTCATTTTTATTCTTCAAAGATGGATTTTAATGGCCATGATGTTTTGAACGATGATTTGTGTATCCTTGAACTACTAAATAGTGATATTCTAGAAGAATTATTCAAAGACCAAAAACAAAAACAGTTTCCAAGAGATTAGTACCTATGGCATTTTTTAGATAATTTAGTTTGTAAAAACAAACTGTTTTGAATATTCTGCCTGGAATTGAGACTGAACTGGATTTCCTCAATGAATTGTAAGTGAGAAGTTTCGGCGCACTTTCTGCTGAAACAGTAACTAAATCGAAACCGAAGCCGAAAGTTCGGACGGACACTAGAAATTTTATAAAAGTAATAGATCTATTACGGCTGTAATAGATGGAGCAACACTGATGTCTGCCATCGTTTTTAACTACTGGTTGGAACAAGCCTACGTTAATGTAAAGCTAGAGCTGTAGGTAAGTATGTGATTTATGTCCTCAGTGTAATCTGGTGAATGTGCAGTGGCGCTGGCGAACGGATAAGGTTTGCGTACGCCGCCTTTCAGGTTTCAGGTGTTATGTCTGAGGTGTAACGGACCAGATATTTAAGCTCTCACCAGCGGCGGGTATTATAATTCTGTATCAGAAATGATAGTAAAATTACCTTTAAAGCAACAGCATTCAAGAAATTGATCCATAACTGACTGATAGACTCGAGGAAATGAACGAATCAATTTATGATCATCCAAAAAGTCTATCATTGG